TTGACCACCTCTCTGCATTGACCACCTCCCTAATTTGACCTAATTTTCATAGATCAGACATGCACCATAGGGACTCAATGGAAGTTCCTTTTGTTGATTGGATTGTTAGTCCCTTACAGAGGGTCTAATGTATTTTATTTGCCCAGTGGATTGCCCTGGTATGCCATATTCTCAAAACTCATCAATAGTGAACCTAGATGACACCGTTTAAGTAAGGATTGAATGATAACTGTTTTAACAAAATTATTTAGTCTTTTTTTCATTCATATGAAAAAATAAGAGTTTAAATGTAACATAAAAAGAATGGGATGCCATTTGGTCACATTTTTTCCTCATGTATATGCTAACAGCTAAATTCTCTGAATTCTTGCATGGTACATATTGATGGATTGTTTAGAGAAAAGATTATATAGTTAGGTTTAGGAGGCTGAATGAAAAAGATAATTCTTTATACTTCTGATGAACAAATGTTTGCGTATTATGAGGTGGATAGGAGAAGCACAAAGGGTGCCACCCAGCTTTAAAAGAAAAGCCCATTAAAGGGGACTTAAGAATGGGGATATTTGCAAGGAGAGATTTTTGGATTTTGTGTAGTTCCTCTAATAGTTGCAAGAGACTCTCAGAATTTCCAGAAGAATGGTAGGAGATGTTTTCTTCATTCTCCTGGTGTCCCACTACTGCTTTAGGGAGGCAGAGTTGTTATTGGAAACAGGATAATAATAACAACACATGGATGAGGTGTCAGGATTCTGGGTACTTTCTTTTTAGTCCTCTTTGACTTTTATTTTCTCTTATTTTTCATTATCCCTGAATACTAAAAATCTTTTCTTCATTTTAAATTATTTTCATATTAATCCTTATATATGTTTATATCTCGTATAAGTACGTGAAGTAAAAGGTTCTGGCAAATCACCAACCTGGGTAGAGGAGAAGCCACCACGAGAATTCTGTTGCTTTGTGAGCCACTTCATGATGTGCATCGCAGAATTCAGTTCCTCTGCAGTTGGGGCTGGCTGGGCTGTGAGGTGAGCGAGGAGCACGTAGGATGTCATCTCCACCTCAGCAGAGGGAGCCTGGTGGTTGTGAAAATGCTCCACTTGTGCCCTGGGTTCCTGAGGTCGCTCCCAATGGACTGAATTGTCTTGATGTGAGAAAAACATATTTATAAGTGTCTACATATTCATATTTAATTCACAATAAAAGTACTGAGGTGAGGGTTGTATTCTAATCATAACCTCTTTAATCTTATATAGATGCTTTTGCTTCTGTGTAAATATAAATGTGGTATCTTTCAGCCTGGCTAAGACAGGTAATGGTGCTGGAATCAGAAAGAAACCTATACTCATCTATGTTTTCAAACAGTCACTGTTTGAAAAAAAAAGGAACAAATATTTGCTGTAGTTGGTGGGAGAAAGAAATGGCAGAGCAAGTTGTTTTCTCACTGGTTGTGGTTATTTTCTATTTTTGATTTTACCTAGACCTTATCTGGAATTTGTTCAGTTTCCTATAAAGCTTATCCTTAGACATTTCTTGTTAGGATTATTTCTTATGATCTTGTGAGATCACACGGAATAATAGTATTTACTAGATTGGGAAAAAAATGCAGTAATCCTTGAAATACCAAAGGCTGACATGGATATGAAACAAAGGAAATGGATATACACTGGTGTGGGATATCGGTTGCTCTTGGGAAACAATCTGGCAATATCCAGCCAATGGGAAGGTGTGCTTCGCCCACTGGTTAGTCACCATACTTGCTGAAGTATAAGTTGGGAAAACTCATACACATAAGGACACAGGCACATGAGTATTCACTGTAGAGATGTTTGCAAAAAATAACAAGAAAAATCCATGAAGAGAAACTCAGCTGTACATTATGACCTATTTATATACCGTAATATATTATGCAGCAGTGAAAATTAATGAGCTAGAATTCTAGGCATGCATATAAGGGACTTTATTAGCATAATGTTAAACTTAAAAAAAGAAAAGGCAAACAAATAAAAAGCCAAGCTGCTGAAATATCCGAAAGAATGATACTGCTTGGCTCGGCACCTATAGCTCAACAGGCTAAGGCGCCAGCCACGTACACCTAAGGTGGCGGGTTCGAATCCCCAGCCCGGACCCGCCAAACAACAATGACGGCTGCAACCAAAAAATAGCCGGGCGCTGTGGTGGGCGCCTGTGGTCCCAGCTACTTGGGAGGCAGAGGCAGAAGACTCACTTGAGCTCAGGAGTTGGAGGTTGCTGTGAGCTGTAATGCCACAGCACTCTGCCCAGGGGGATAGCTTGAGGCTCTGTCTCAAAAAAAAAAAAAAAAAAGAATGATACTGCTTATCTAAAGATGAAAACAATCTAAATATTATGAATATTACTTATGGATACATACACAGCAAAATAGAACATCTATAGAAGTCATGTCTGACAAATTCAGGGTAATGATCACTTCTGGATGTGGAAGTGGTACACAGGGGATTTTTCCTGCACTGGTAATACGTTATTTCCTCATCTGGGAAGGAGTTATACAGGTGTGTGTTGATTATTCTTTGTGGTTTTTTTGTGTATCGGAAATATTTCCCAATGAATTTTAGAAATAATTAATGGCACTGTTAAAGGGGAAATTTTGAGTGTATTTTATTGGATATCTTACATTATATTTTTTTCTTCAATCTGTCATATCGACCATGGTGTATGTAGAAGTATCGTGAGAATAGGAATAGATTGATCAACATTGTTGGTTTTGTAAAATGAAATTAAAATATCAGAATTTATTCATGGGGTGCCCTCCATCAATTTTTCCTTATGTTTAAGATGATTTGATGTACTATGTAAGTGTGGGGCTTATATTAAGAACAGATGTTTTAGTAATAATAGCTAATACTTTCGTTTATTATGTTCCATATACTGTAGTAAGTGTTTCATGGGTGTTAACTTAATACTCAACAATAAACCCTTTGAGGTAAATACTATCATCCCCATTTTACTGATGAGGGAACCAAAACACAGACAAGTAAATGACATGCCCCAAATCACATGGGTAGTACATTTGGAGCTATTCTCCAGAGGCTAGGCTTTTCACTAGTACACATACAGATGGTCTCCAAGTTATAATGGTTTGATTTAATGATTTTTTTTAACTTTACCATGGATTTATTGGGACATAACTGTCATAAGTTGAGGTATGATTTGGTTAATAAATCTTAGATTTTATAAAAGTATGATATGTACAAAATATACATGACATAGATAAAAGAAGAGAGGGGACAGGGCTCACAGGAGGAAGAAGAGGGTTTTACAGTGCAGTTCTTAACACAGAGAGCATAAGACAAAAGAAGGATCTGAGGTTTGCTCTTACCTTTCTTCACAGATTCTTCATTAAGTGACTTGAGCACTTCTGTCCTTTTTTCCTGGTAACCTGCCAGGGCAAAAGCATAGGCCAGTAGTGCCTTGGTGTAGACGTGACTGCCTACGGCTCCTTTCTTTGCTGACTTCCAGGCTGACTCCAGGCAGAATAGGGCATTGCGGACAACAGGGTGCTGTGAAAGGAGAATAGAAGGGAACCGAGCTGTGTGGACAGGTGCTGGCGTTCCTAGGTAAATGCACAGATCATAGTCTAAGAGGTGAAGAAGTTTTTCTTTCTTTCTTTCTTTTTTAAATTAAATCATAACTGTATACATTAATATAATCATGGGGTACAATGGTTTTATATATCATTTGAATTATTTTCATCAAACTGGTTAACATAGCCTTCAGTGCATTTTTTTAGTTATTTATACTCTACACTTAGTGAATTTAACATGTACCCTTGTAAAATGCACCAGAGGTGTGTTCCCACCAATTACCCTCTTCCAACTATCCTCTCCCCTTCCCTCCTTTCCCTCTCCTCCCTCCCTCTTTTCTTGGACTACAGTTGGGTTGTAGCTTTCATATGAAAGCTATAAATTGGTTTCATAGTAGGGCTCAGTACATTGGATACTTTTTCTTCCATTTTTTTTTTTTTTTTGAGACAGAGCCTCAAGCTGTCGCCATGGGTGGAAAGCCATGGCATCACAGCTCACAGCAACCTCCAACTCCTGGGCTCAAGCGAGTCTCCTGCCTCTACCTCCTAAGTAGCTGGGATTACA